AAAAACAATCAGCAGTCTTGTGTGTATTAAAATCAGGATAAAAACAATCAGCAGTCTTGTGTGTATTAAAATCAGGATAAAAACAATCAGCAGTCTTGTGTGTATTAAAATCAGGATAAAAACAATCAGCAGTCTTGTGTGCATTAAAATCAGGATAAAAACAATCAGCAGTGTTGTGTGTATTAAAATCAGGATAAAAAGAATCAGCAGTCTTGTGTGTATTAACATTGGAATAAAAACAATCAGCAGTCTTTTGTGTATTAAAATCAGGATAAAAACAATCAGCAGTCCTGTGTGTATTAAAATCAGGATAAAAACAATCAGCAGTCTTGTGTGTATTAAAATCAGGATAAAACAATCAGCATTCTCATTATAAAATAATAAGCACAGTTTTGTGTATTAAAATTGGGATATAAATAATAAGCAGTTTTGTGTATTAAAATTGGGATATAAATAATAAGCATAGTTTTGTGTATTAAAATTGGGATATAAATAATAAGCACAGTTTTGTGTATTAAAATTGGGATATAAATAATAAGCACAGTTTTGTGTATTAAAATTGGGATATAAATAATAAGCATAGTTTTGTGTATTAAAATTGGGATATAAATAATAAGCATAGTTTTGTGTATTAAAATTGGGATATAAATAATAAGCACATTCTTATGTGTATTAAAATTGGGATATAAATAATAAGCACAGTTTTGTGTATTAAAATTGGGATATAAATAATAAGCACAGTTTTGTGTATTAAAATTGGGATATAAATAATAAGCACAGTTTTGTGTATTAAAATTGGGATATAAATAATAAGCACATTCTTGTGTGTAATTGGTTGTTGTTGCTCTGGGGCTTAACACCATTTTTCAGCACATGATAGGCTATATACATGGCAGCCAGTATTAATGGTGGAGGAAGAAACTGGGAAATCCCTGGAAAGAACCAATGACCCACTGAAAGCTACTGACAAGCTTTCTCACATATCCACACAAATCTTAGACTTGAACCCAAACAGACAAAGGTGAGATCCATAATGGAGAGGGCTTTAAACCCCTAGGCCATTTGTGGGGTTTCTTGTGTAATTGGATAATCAGCACAAAATATTGTGCAATCAGGATTTTAAAAATCAGCAGTCTATTGTATATTCAGGATAACAGTAATCAACTGTCTATTGTGTATCCAGGACAACAGAAATCTGCAGTCTATTGTGTATTTAGGATAACATTAATCAACTGTCTATTGTGTATCCAGGATAACAGAAATCAGCAGTATATTGTGTATTCAGGATAACATTAATCAACTGTCTATTGTGTATCCAGGATAACAGAAATCAGCAGTCTATTGTGTATTCAGGATAACAATAATAAACAGTCTTCAGGTGATCAGGATAAAAACAATCAGCACAGTCTATTTTCTAATCAGGATAAAAACAATCAGCACAGTCTATTTTCTAATCAGGATAAAAATAAACAACACAGTTTATAAGTGTATATTGTGTCCATTAATGGTAACTGACACTTTGTCTACAGATGTCTGTATAATCACTGCTGATTTGTGTTGGTGCTGAATGGTCATATAGTCAAATTGGTACCATCATATGACTATGATAACAGGTTTGATTCCCACTTTTGGATCATGCCATGGTATTTTTTTTAGCATATGAGGGTATACTCTACATTTCTCAGCACAGTATAACCTTAAAGTGTTGCAGTGCTTTAACATGCCAAACCAATCAAATTCGTATAACTCACAAGCCACAATTTTCTTGTAAAGTCCATGGATATAGAAAGCTTGACAGAGTTTGGCATCAGTGAGCATGTCTGTACATCTGTCCAAACCCTGAAAAAGGTCAAGGTTGATTGCCAAATTGGCTACGGCTCTCATTTTACTCATTGCCCATTACAAGGTTTCCTAGCTTTTCATAAATAGGCATAAACAAACATAAAGCATCACAGAGCAAATTAAATAAGCTTCTAACCATGAACCTAAGTTATCTTTTATTGATCAAATGATCAATCTCTTAGAGAAAATCAATTGTCATAAAAAAAAATCATGTAGGCTCAACCTTGTAATAAAAGTTGACTCAGATTAGCAACGGCTGGTTAAGCAGGTTTATGCATATTTAGGAGTATATAAAAAAAAGGAAATTTTAATACAAGAGCCGAAGGTGAAAAGAGCAATGCAGATATTTGTCAATGGCTAATGAAAATGAAGCATGGGGTCTATTATTTTAAATGCATGTTATTTTGTTTTAACACTGTTTTATCTGTAAAATATAGTATATAATTTACTTGTATAATATGCAGTGACAATTCCTGGTCAATGCAGTATATGGTTGGGTAAAAGTTTTGCATGAATGAATATACTGTAACATTACATAGAAAAAAAAAACAATTAGAAGTGAGTAATTCTGCTGACCAGAAGGTCAAGTCCATTGGTACAGTAAGTGACCATAAGGGTCAAGTCAATCATACATTTACAGTCATTTTAGAGAGTTGGAAACCAGGTCATTATTGCCTGTTTTTAATACACACAATTTAATAATTTGGTAAAAAAAAATTAATACAGAAGAGAATAATGCATTTGGAAATGGCAAAAATCAGTAAAAAAACAAATCTATTTGAAAACTGAAAATTTTGTAAAAAGGTAATGACACTGAAATTTTCAAATTTTAGTGTTCAAAATGCCCTGAACAGATACCTGGCATTCCTCCATGCCACATGACAACCCTTTATGAAACTTGGCAATCTTTCATGCCACATGGCAACCCTTTATGAAACTTGGCAATCTTTCATTCCACATAAATTCTGATGATTTAATTGTAATTATACTCAACTATGCAGGGCTAGGTAAATATGCTGATACAACAGATCAAGTGTTATAAGTACTGTAGAACACTCTCAAGACATTTATTTATCCCACGATAAGCTCAAGAAGTGATGGCTTGATTTAAATCATCACTGAATATATCTTTCTTGAAGAAAAATAAACTGAGAACATGTGTAACATGTTGGGGGTAAAAATTTTAAATTGATAAAATTTGTAAGAAGCTGTGGGTATAATTTTCAAATGAACTATATTACACCTAGAAGCTTGCTACACAAACACAGAAATGTCAGTGCTCTTTTGCATCATAAATCTATACCATTAGTATTGGAGATGGTTAACTTTATAAGCTCCATGAACCAATCAGCCACAGATATATATCAGCAGATTTGGTTAAGTAGCTTATATCTCAAGTCTTATAGTTTTGTATGCCATAAAACATGGTCACTTGATTTTTAGTAATCCACAGATAACTCCATCAACATTAGGCACTTGGGTTGTAGTAATCAAAAGAGGGCTCCCTTAGTACTGGACACTTGGGCGGTAGTAATCAACAGACAATTTTATTAGTACTGGTATATGGGCACTTGAGTTGTAATATTTAACAGACAATTATATTAGTAATGGTATATGGGCACTTGAGTTGTAATATTTAACAGACAATTATATTAGTAATGGTATATGGGCACTTGAGTTGTAATATTCAAAAAATAGATGTTACTATTAGGCAATTGGATATGTAACAATGGACAGCTCTATTAGCTTCACCATTCTATTAATCTATTTTATTTTCCTTGGAAGACTTTGTCTGAATTAGTTGAATAGGGTTTTTTTTATAAAAAAATGTTTATTCTCAAGTGCTAAATATCATAATTGAGCATTTGGTCATTTAGTTACTTGTAACCAATCTTTAATTATGCATTGACCATCATATGACAAATTCAAGTTGTAAAAGGTACTACATATACTTACTTATATGTTGGGTCTAGCTGCAAGTACAGGCCATGATCTAACATTGAATAATGCACCAGTAGGTCAGACCCTGGATTGATTAAACCTCCAAGTTCAAACTTGGTTAACTTTCCTTATGCTGTAGTTTAATACAATGATAACAATGAAAGGTTTGCAATAGAATGGTAGCTGAGGGGCATATTTTGACATGCAGGCTTTGTCCCAGATAAAAGTGGTCAGTTTTGGAGTGCTATTAATACAATGGTATAGTATTACTGGATAGAGTTATGCCCCACATGTATAATACCACAAGTTGACCATTAATCAGACTGGTTTTCTCAATGACAAGTATCCATTCTCTGTAATTGCCTGAAGTAAATCTGATAGAACAAGAAACCAGTCCATCTTTAGCTATTCATATTGATTTTATTATATTTGTTTTCACCATAAATGTAGCTAGCACTATTACTGCAGTTAGATTGTCACATCTTCTGCTATCATGTACAAGACAGGTCTTGTCAGCACACTTCCAATCAATTCAAGCTTAATATGGAATGTTCAATATAAATTATATATTGAACATTATCTAATATTGAAGCACATGATAGGTATAGGTAGTAGTTGCACACAAAGTTTGCAAGACATGTTAAAGAAAACAAAGCTGCATATGAAAAAAAAAATTCTTTTAGGTTCCCAATGTCAAGAATTGAGAAAATGATGTTGCTGGAGTTAAATGACATTATAACACTGTACCACCATTATCTCGATGAGGAGGCTCATTTCTGTTTTGCATCCAGCTCTGGTATTCAAAAGCCAAAATCTACAGCACTTTATTCATTAAAAGTAAATGTAAGCAAGACTCCTTAACTGGCAAAATTTGGAGGTAGTGTTGCTTGGTTTGCAAAAGCCCTTTGTTGTAAAATTTGGACTCAGTGTTGCTTAGTTTATAACATCACAATAACATGTTGAAGATACTAAACCTGTGTGTGTATGATTTGGATTTTTATTGTACCTTTAAAATAAAATTCAGTCATATCACTACAATGTCAGCATCGTAGCAGTTTATAGTGATATCAAGTACTGAGGCATCATGGCACAGACATGTAGCATCATGTCACATTATCCTGATGCCAAGCCAACAAGTCTTACCATTAACTTCTTAATGCTCAACACCAAGACAGGCAGCTGGCAGCTGCTAGTATAATTTTTATAAGTCTTTGGCATGACTCAGTTAGGATTTGAACCTGTGACTTCCTGCATTTGAGGCAAACGCTCTAATCATTTAGGCCACCAGAGCAGTACTGAACCTGTAATGTTTGGATCAAGAGTGTGACACACAAGCAACCAAAGTGTGGAGAAGTTGCTGTTAGAAACAGCATCAATTATCATTTGAAATTAATAATTTTCTTTTGTATCTGAAAAATTTATTAAATCTGTAATGATGTCAGCTACACAAGATGGCTGAGAAAACTTCATTAGCATTTTTCACCAATCTGTCACCATTAAATCTAATCATTTATATACACTGTGAATACCCACACAGAGACAGCAGGACTTCTGCCAGCACAATGAACCAGTCCATGTAATGTCTTGTTAAAACCAGTACAACTACAGCTATTATTCAGCATTAGTATCCATAATAATGCCTTTGTTCAACATCAACAATTTAACATGTCCTATCAGTTTACAGAGTGAGAGAGAGTTTTTAGAGATAGAAAATCAAGAGGGGCTATATTATAGGAGAGTGTCACTTTTTTCCCAAAAGAAGTGATTTTTGCTGTCTGACTTCGCTATACTTCGTATAGCAAGTCACACATTATCATCTTGGGACAGTAACAAACAAAAGTAGTTTCATATTTGTATTCTTAAAAAAGGAAAACAAATGTTGAGGATTAAGTGTCCTCTACCTTTACCTTGAAAACATCTTCCTGTGGAAGCTATTTTCTAATATTATTCATTATGTCAACATATCGTGTAGCAAATCATTTGATGTTATACAATACTTCGTATATGAAAACAAAAGTATTGATTCCTTTCTTTTAAAAGGATTCAAATGTTACTTTCAGTTATGAATATATTTCTTTGCTTGATTATGTTTGATTGACTACCTTTTATTTAGTCCATTTATATTAAGAAAATGGATCAACATCTGTATACTCATTTATTCCACAAGAATTTTGTTGTTCCCACCTCCTTTATTCAAAACACACTGGTAATAAATAACATTTTCAAGTCATCCACCCTCACACAATGGGGGAAATTAATATACTTTACACAACTTATTTTTACTCATTCATAAAAAGTGACAGAGGTTGCTGATGGACAGTTTAAGTGAGGTATTTCACAGAACTGAGGATAGAGGTAGTAGTGATGGGAAGCGGTCAAAATTTCTTAATTAGTTACAACTGATAATCGATTATAATCGGTTATTAAGAGCAAATTTAACTTTTTGTTTCTTATGCAGTTATATCTTTGCTCAAGAGTTCAAAATGTTAATAAATGTACTGGAGTAATAACTTTTAATAACATTTATACTTTAATGTGATAAAAATATTACAGTTTCTTCTAATATATTATTTTTGTTCTACAACTTTGTTAAATAAAAGCAGCTTCTTATGGCTGATCAGTTTTATGTAACTGAAAAACTGTTGCAATTTCACTACCCCCATGATGATTATTTAAAGAAAGGGACATGGTTTTCTTGTTTGACATTTACAAATACTATAAAAGGATTTTACATTTAAACTGAAACAAATAATCATATTTTTAAAACAATTTATCAACTCTACAATTTAACAGCAAAATCATATAATAATGACTATATATTCATAATTAAGTTTGCACCTACTGTGTATAGTATGTTTTATATTTGTAAGTAGTGAAGGGAATAAATAATTTAGTTTGATGATAGTAGATTGAGAGTCCTATACAGCTTACCATTTGCCCAGGACCTTTACTAATCTTTGCATTTTGCATGCATTGGAAAAGAAATAGTCTCCCTTTGCACACAATTGATTATAGTTTCAGAATCGATTATCTTATTGGTTCGCTCAACCAACTGAGTATCTATTATAATCGATAATAAGAACAACACTAAGAGGTAGATCCTTAGATAGCTTATGTGAAGTATTTTATAGAAATGAGGATTGAGGTAATCCGAGGACAGTTTATGTGAAGTATTTTATAGAAATGATTGAGGTAATCCTCAGACAAAAGTGAGTTTTTTCATAGAACTGAGGATAAAGGTAGATCTTCAGATAGTTTAAGTATTTTATAGAAATGAGGATTGAGGTAATCCGATGACAGTTTAAGTGAAGTATTTTATAGAAATGATTGAGGTAATCCTCAGACAAAAGTGAGTTTTTTCATAGAACTGAGGATAAAGGTAGATCTTCAGATAGTTTAAGTATTTTATAGAAATGAGGATTGAGGTAATAATCCTCTGACAGTTTAAGTGAGGTATTATATAGAAATGAGAATAGGTTGAGGGACAGCAAGGCAAGCATAAGGTTACTGAGAGCATATGAAGGAATGGTAGAAAACATTTTCACCTTGCAAATCGACTAGTAAATGTCAAGTAAATATAAAAGTTAAGGAAAAGAAAGCACTTTACATCTTCCTAGTTTGCAGGCCTTAAATTTAACAAAAATTTCTTGATATCCAGAAGGACTAGCTTGAGAAATTTACCAGTTCTGCTGAACCTTCCTAATCCTTCCCACAAATACTCACTGACTACTCCACTATAATCATAAATACAATTTTAACCACATATTATTAATAGAAACTGAACCACTGAAATTACTGATAGAAATTGGAGGGCTGAAATTATGAATAGCCATTGGAGTGTGGAAACCATGAATGGCCACTGAATTACTGAAATTACAATTAGCCACTGGACAACTGAAATTTTGAATGGCCACTGGACTACTGAAATTACAATTAGCCACTGGATTACTGAAATTATGAATGGCCACTGGATGACTGAAATTACAATTAGCCACTGGATTACTGAAATTATGAATGGCCACTGAATTACTGAAATTACAATTAGCCACTGGACAACTGAAATTTTGAATGGCCACTGGACTACTGAAATTACAATTAGCCACTGGACAACTGAAATTTTGAATGGTTATTGGTGTATTAAAATCATGAATGGCCACTGGATGACTGAAATTACAATTAGCCACTGGACAACTGAAATTTTGAATGGCCACTGGACTACTGAAATTACAATTAGCCACTGGACAACTGAAATTTTGAATGGCCACTGGACTACTGAAATTACAATTAGCCACTGGACAACTGAAATTTTGAATGGCCACTGGACTACTGAAATTACAATTAGCCACTGGACAACTGAAATTTTGAATGGCCACTGGACTACTGAAATTACAATTAGCCACTGGACAACTGAAATTTTGAATGGCCACTGGATGACTGAAATTATGATTAGACACTGGACAACAGAAATTACAATTAGCCATTGGAGTATTGAAATTAAGAAAAGCTACTGGATTAATGAATTTATGACAGGCAATGAACTACTAAAAACATAAATAGCTACTGGATTAATGAATTTATGACAGGCACTGAACTACTAAAAACATGAATAGCTACTGGATTAATGAAAATAAGAATACTACTAATACAATAGGATTGCCATGTTTCCTTGGGCTTACTGCTAATCTGGAATCCTGGTTCAGCAAAAGAACATGAATCTCTCTTTATCAAAAGACTACATTAATGACACACTAACTGTAAGGGATAAATCAAGAATTAGACATACATGAGAATACCAAACTTAACTAAAACTCCATAAAACTTTTAATCCTACAAATTTTTTGGAAATAATTTATGATTAAAAAAACATAAGTATTATATATATATATATATATATATATATATATATATATATATATATATATATATATATATATATATATATATATATATATATATATTCACATTTTGATAGAAAGAATGGCAACTTAATAAAGAATTTAAAAGAACAATTTTTATGATTTTAGGCAAGCAAAATGTTATCATATAAAAAAGAAACAATGGCTTCAATGTTATCAAGTTATTCATCTCATCCCTGAATTGAGAACAGCAAGGTCGTTATTTATAAATATAATTTGCTTGTAACAGCATACAAGAAAGCTGGGCTATCTATATTGACTAGAATGTTATAGCTGGAAGACTGGGATGAGTCATAGATGTTATGTCAGTTATTAAACAGACTTCTAAATATGTATACACCAGTTAGCTCCACTCAAGGAAATTAAATTTTATTATTTGCAAGAACAGACTTAAAGACCTATTCATTACTGTGTCACCTAGACTGAATGACAGGGTAAAAAAAGATCCCCTTGGTCTCAGAATTAGGGGTCAGACTGAGTAAAAAATAAACTTTCATATCAAAAATGTGGGTTGGATTAAAATTTTGGGAGTACCTGAAGCACAAATGAGGGTAAAGGTAAACAGTGCTAATGTTTCCTTACCTTAAATATTTTCAGCATGTGTTCTGTTATCTAATTTCATGGTGTTTGTTTTTTGTCATCATTATATATGTTTATCAAATGCTGTAAAGCGATTAGAGCTTCTAAAGATTAGGCACAATACAAAGTCCTCATTATTCTTATTATTATTATCATTATTATTATTATTATTATTATTATTATTATTATTGTTATTGTTGTTATTGTTATTATTTTTATTATTATTATTATTATTATTATTTTTATTATTATTATTATCATTATTATTATCTATGAATAGAATCTATATAAACTAGCTGACTGTCTATGAGACTGAAAGAAAACTTGTTATTTATTATACATGTAAATATTATAAAGTGTCACTGATTCAGTCTAATCTTGCTCCCCCCACCACTCCCCCATGTATTTCCGGTAGACTGCTTTTTTTATTGCCAACTAAAGCACCCCACCCCCATTAAATTTATTTTAAAAAACTTTGCATTACATATATATGTTTAAAACAAAGCATGACTATCCTAATTTTAAAATCTGTACAGAGAAATATTTTTTCTGGCTCAAAATACTTAATTAATGGTAACTGACACTTTGTCAAACTCAAATAATTTGAATATCTTTCAAATATTCAAAATGGTTCCAATAGCTAACCATATAGTTTCTGCATTAAAGCCACAATACCATGCCTGAAACCTCAAAAATACAACCAATGAAAAACTGATGAAATATTTGATTAAACAGCAGTTGAAGGTTTTGAATTAATTCTATGGTACTTACAAAGAAACAGATTTTTTTCATGGATTCTCTAGCACA